CTTTTTTCTGCCTGGTCGGTTGATGACACAGTGACAGTGCAGGACCTCTGGACTGGAGTATTAAGACTATAGCTGAACCCCCCTCTGGGCAACAGGAGGTGGGCTGGAGGGAGGGGAGTGGAGTGGTGTGGGGATTCAACGACAATTCATTCTGTAGACGTAGCACTGTAACTGCCAAGATAAAGGAAACACTTGAGTAATTGAGGGATACAAAGTATATTGAAAGCAGATGCTTCAACACAGGTGTGGTTCCTGAGTTAATTAAGCAATTAACATCCCATCTTGCTTATGGTCGTGTATAAAAATGCCCAGTTGCCCATTACTTTGGCAACTATGGCTAGAAAAAGAGATCTCATTGACTTTGAAAGAGGGGTCTCAAAGGAGCATAGGGGGTGTAAAGGGTGTGTGTGTCTCAGTCACCAGATCTCAACCTAATTGAACACTTATGGGAGATTCTGGAGAGGCGACTGAGACAGCGTTTTCCACCACCATCAACAAAACACAAAATTATGGAATTTCTGGTGAAGAAAGGTGTCGCATCTCTCCAATAGAGTTCCAGACACTTGTAGAATCTATGCCAAGGTGCATTGAAGCTGTTCTGGCTCGTGGTGGCCCAATGCCCTATTAAGAAACTTTATGTTGGCGTTTCCATTATTTTGGCAGTTACCTGTATATATGTGTGCACGCGTCTCGCATACATGCACACACAGTGGCCTTCGTGTTATGTACTGTATCCACCTCCTGTTATGTACTGTATCCATCTCCTGTTATGTACTGTATCCATCTCCGTCTCTGTAGGGGGGTCTCTAATGAGAAACAGCTGGAGCCCCCCCCTCCCCCACCACGACAGGGCTGTATTCCAACTGACAGTAGGCTAACAACTTTACATACAGTGAGGGAAAAAAGTATTTGATCCCCTGCTGATTTTGTACGTTTGCCCACTGACAAAGAAATGATCAGTCTATAATTTTAATGGTAGGTTTATTTGAACAGTGAGAGACAGAATAACAACAAAAAATCCAGAAAAACGCATGTAAAAAATGTTATAGATTGATTTGCATTTTAATGAGAGAAATAAGTATTTGACCCCCTCTCAATCAGAAAGATTTCTGGCTCCCAGGTGTCTTTTATACAGGTAACGAGTTGAGATTAGGAGCACACTCTTAAAAGGGATTGCTCCTAATCTCAGCTTGTTACCTGTATAAAAGACACCTGTCCACAGAAGCAATCAATCAATCAGATTCCAAACTCTCCACCATGGCCAAGACCAAAGAGCTCTCCAAGGATGTCAAGGACAAGATTGTAGACCTACACAAGGCTGGAATGGGCTACAAGACCATCGCCAAGCAGCTTGGTGAGAAGGTGACAACAGTTGGTGCGATTATTCGCAAATGGAAGAAACACAAAAGAACTGTCAATCTCCCTCGGCCTGGTGCTCCATGCAAGATCTCACCTCGTGGAATGAACATCTGAATGATTCAGAGGAGAACTGGGTGAAAGTGTTGTGGTCAGATGAGACCAAAATGGAGCTCTTTGGCATCAACTTAACTCGGCGTGTTTGGAGGAGGAGGAATGCTGCCTATGACCCCAAGAACACCATCCCCACCGTCAAACATGGAGGTGGAAACATTATGCTTTGGGGGTGTTTTTCTACTAAGTGGACAGGACAACTTCACCGCATCAAAGGGACGATGGACAGGGCCATGTACCGTCAAATCTTGGGTGAGAACCTCCTTCCCTCAGCCAGGTTATTGAAAATGGGTCGTGGATGGGTATTCCAGCATGACAATGACCCAAAACACACGGCCAAGGCAACAAAGGAGTGGCTCAAGAAGAAGCACATTAAGGTCCTGGAGTGGCCTAGCCAGTCTCCAGACCTTAATCCCATAGAAAATCTGTGGAGGGAGCTGAAGGTTTGAGTTGCCAAACGTCAGCCTCGAAACCTTAATGACTTGGAGAAGATCTGCAAAGAGAAGTGGAACAAAATCCCTCCTGAGATGTGTGCAAACCTGGTGGCCAACTACAAGAAACGTCTGACCTCTGTGATTGCCAACAAGGGTTTTGCCACCAAGTACTAAGTCATGTTTTGCAGAGGGGTCAAATACTTATTTCCCTCATTAAAATGCAAATCAATTTATAACATTTTTGACATGCGTCTTTCTGGATTATTTTGTTGTTATTCTGTCTCTCACTGTTCAAATAAACCTATCATTAAAATTATAGACTGATCATGTCTGTCAGTGGGCAAATGTACAAAATCAGCAGGGGATCAAATACTTTTTTCCCCTCACTGTAGCAGTGTCTTCATGCTCCATCAGTGTGTACAGTGTCCTCCCTATCATCAAACCCCCAGAAATCAACAGGTAATCACGCAACACAGGCCATTAATAAACGACCTATCTATCATATGAGGTGTTTTTGCAGGTTAACTCGCATCAAACACTGTGCATGAGCCTCAGAACCAATCAGAATATCAGCATAATACACCTTATCCTTACTGCATGCCCTGTTTGTATGCCCCTCTCACTGTGTCCTGATTAGCTGAGTTAGAGAGTTAGCTAGCTAAGAGTTAGCAGCACATGGCTCAGCAGCCTTAAACAGACACTAATCAATCCAGGGCCCTGGAGGGCTGCAGACGTGGGAGACTCTGTGCTCTTTGAAGAAGGAACCCCACCACAGTACAACACAGGCCTTTTGAAGTATACCCTCTCTGGAAGATAACCTTGGGTTGGGTGGACAGGACCAGGAATAGAACAGGAGATAGGCTGGGAGGCTGGGAGGGGAGCAGGGATGGGTGGCTAGCTTTTATTCTAGCCCAGCTCGAACACAACTGGTTTAACTGATAGTGAGATGGAGATCCCTCTGTATCTCTGTTTTGCTTCCTCCCTAGTCTCCTCCTCGGTGCATCATGCCCGTGTCTTTATGTCGCGTGTGTGTGTGTGATATGATGGTATCCTATCATGTATGGATGGTATTCTGAGATGTGTCTGGAGGGATGGAGGGAGGGCGGAACAGAGGGAGGGGTGGAGGGCAGGAGGGATGAGAAGGATAATCACATTTTAATTTATTTGTTTTCCTTTCCTCCTATCCTTCCATCTTTCACACTAACATGAATCTTTCAGTCAGGTCACATTGTCTCCCCCTTCCCTCCAACCACTACATCAACAACCATACTAGGAACACTTATGAGATACTGTACTCCACCACCCTCTCAGGAGTCTAAGGGTTAATTATGGGAGAACCACAGCCTCATGTTGTTGAATTATTCAGCCTATCCCTGTGCTCTATGTGAGGATTACAGACGGACATCAGGCATCCAGAGGTTTTACCAGCCGTCTCTTAAGTGCCTGTGAACATGTGACCTAGAGGAATATTCCATAATTTAATAAGAGGGGCAGAGACATCTGTGTCCCAAATGGCACCCTAAAGGGCTCTGGTCAAAAGTAGTGCACTATGTAGGGAATAGGGTGCCATTTGGATGCAGACCAGCTACAGTAGCTGTTGAAGAAAACAGTTAGCCTACTGTTAAGGGATTTCATCCACTCTGGGGTTTGAAAGGTCTGTGAGAGTTTAGCCATTCAGTCAAAGTAGGCCTCACTTATTTTTTTGCCCACAGTGAATCCACAATAAACTGAAAATATTCACTGACACACTACAGTAAGTGTGCAGAAGAAGTTCTCTTTGCATTTCAGTATTTTAGACCATTTTGCACAATAGCAGCTTGACCAGATGAGGGATAGATTCCCAGCTAACTACACTATACCCCACAGTGGTAAAGACATCATGCATTTGGGCACCCAAGTGTGGTTAATGTTCTTTCCTAATAGACCTAAGCCATTCTCCTCCTGAGAGTCAATGATAGACCGTCAGTAGCTATACCATAACTCACACTAATGCCTTAATATGGACATGCAGACATGGATCCATTTGCTTCCTGTCAAGGTAAGGTCCAGGTAGCAGTGGCCCTCGGACACCGATCTAGGATCAGCTTACCTTCCCACACATTCTAAAATTAACAATGGGGCCTTAAAACACAAAACTGAC